TTCAATATAAAACCGTTAAGGTTTAGCAGGAATACGTTGTTCTAAAAGATTATTAAAATATACACGTTACTTGTTATAGATCCTTTTAAGCTGATTTGCTGATATCCTTTTGAATTTCTGTTAACTTTTAATTTTTCATTCTTTCTTGTGGTGTAGTCATATTATATTTTATTTCGAAAAACATAGGGGGGTGATTCCTTGTTTAAAATGAAGGGTAGTATGTTATAAAAACCTTGGGTCAAAAGCCGACTATTAGGGAGATTTCGCATTACAAATATGGCGGAGGAATAATGTTTTTAAATTTTATCTTAAAAACGAAAATAAGTAGAACAATAAAATATTACGGAAATATTAGTATTATAAAAGCACACCTTCTGCATTTTTTTTTAAATGATGTCCTCTAATAATTTTTTTATCTCGTTGGATCTAGAATCAATTTCTCATTTTTTTTATTTAGTGACGATAATTATTATGAAAAAATTGTTGGAGACAAAAGTTTCTAAATAAAACATGAAATAAAAAAATTGCTTTTTTCCCTTCCACTTATTTTTCAAAAATTAAAAAATATTTGTAGCGGGACATCTCCCTAATAGTCGGTTTTTAATCCAATTTTCATGTCACAGACTAACTACGCTTTAAACAAAGAAATAAAACACCCTGTATATATTAATTTTATTTGTTCAAATGATTTTGAGTTCACGACTTCTTGGAAAATATGTTTATCTGTGCACGTAGTAGTCTGTATTTTTTGTTTCCTGTTTATATATAATTTCTGATCTATGTCGACCTAAATATTTTATATTCTCTTACCATTTATGTATTAAAATATGTATATCAAGGTTAGTTATTCCTTTAGCAAAAATTAAAAAGTATTAAATAGTAATTAAAATATGTTGCCACGAAACGAAAACGATAGTAAAAAGTCCGGAAATGTCAGCAAGCAATAAAACAACGGACCCGGTCACTTTGAAAATTAAATTACACCGAACTGACGAAATTAGAAAGTTCTCCGTAGCGATTGCAGTCGAATCGAAAGCTTCTTTTGTGGGGGATTCAATTAGGAAATTGGTTCCTTCACGATGTACGGTTTTATTTTCGCGCGACACTTCTGCCGTCTGCGTACTTAAAAGCAAATTACAACCACGAACACGAACAAATTTACTGTCTATTTTTGACTAAGATCGGTTTTATTTGGAGCCCAAGTCAGACGTTCGGGAAGGTTGAAAAGGCTTTATAAATTACTTTTATCATCGATAATCGCGAAGCCGGCGGATTCTATGATTTACCGGCGATTTTCGATTTACGACTGTTTCCATTGAATCCGTATGAAATATGTCTCGCAGCAACTGATTATAGCGGCCAATCGAGAAAGTTTCTTCGTTTGCTGCGGCTTTCCTTTCAATTTACGCATATAATATAAATATAATAAAATGGGCAATATTCCGGATGAATGGCTCACATCAATCTTTATTCCATTACTTCAGAAGACGATTACAAAAAACTGCAAATAACATTGAATCATCAGCCTCATGAGTCGTTCGTTGAAAGTACTTTTGAATATTATTCATAAAGGTATATCCAGAAAGCTTCAACAGAACGTGTCAATTATCCAATTTGGTTTCAGAAATAGCACAGTATAGAAGTACAGCACAGCACAATATACAAAGAGCAACACATGTATATTCTGATGCTTTCGCGTGACTTTGAAAGCCAATAAGAAACTGCATAAAATACTTATTGAAATACTAAAAAGATCAAACATCGGCGACAAAGATGTCAGACTCATAGCACATCTCAAGAGGAACCAATCAGTGAAATTCTCTATGAGTAACGAGTTTTGTAAAATAAATAAGAACTAAAAGTTCAGATTTTCGCGAAATTATATATTATGACATGACAATTGTTTCGACAACACATTTGATAAAGACACGGTTATAATTTCGTGAAAATCTGAATTTTGGTTCTTATTTATTTTGATAAATGGATTTTCATCAAGTAAAAGCCACCTCAGTTCAACGAGTTTATTTGTTATTTATTTGAATAAACGGTGTATAATTAGGTATTTTACACCACACTTCAAATTTGTATTCAAAATATTCCAATTCGGAATATTTAAATGAATCAAATTACCAAAAAAAAACAAGCAAGGATCAAAAGAAATGTTCAATTGGTTTTCTAATTTTGGCAATGGATTTCAATTTTTCTGGTATTGTTACATTTCCGATTCCATTTACAATCGCTCGGCGTCGTCAAATACCACTTCGCAATTAAATAAGATTGCTTTCGAAAAATCATCACTGGGCGGGGCAAGTTCGTAGCGCGTAGCGCGAAGCAGCTCTTTATTATAAGAGGAAAGAACTTCGCGGTTTCGTGTGGTAGAGGGACGCATTGTTTTTCTATCGTGCTCCTGCGGACCTACTTTCGCAAAATCGATGTAATTTAATTGTGCATGCACCCTGTATAAAATGTCCTTCACATCTTGTCGAACTTCAAAGTTACAGCAAACATCGGTAAATATTAAAATTTGCACAAATAATAGCGTTGTCGAACAATACTCTTTCAAATATCTCGCGCCCTGTATAATTGACGAAACCTGAAAATCTCACGACACGGTTTACGATACTATTCAAATAAAATTATCCCATTTTTAACGGTTTTTCATTTATCGCCAATAATTTACGTACAAAAACTGAAATGTTTAGGATATTTTAGATTTTTTGCCCATAAATGATACACCCAGTATATCATTCAATCATTGTTCGAGTACGCGTCCCGGTTCAAGAATTTTTTGAAAATAGTAAATGGTTTTCGAGAAAATAAGTTTTTATGTGATAGACGGAAACTGCAAATACAAAAATTGTAGCTCTTGATGCGGCCTATGACACCGTTTGAACCAATTAGTCATATGTTTTACGATATTTGATTTGCGGCTAATAATTTATTTTGTAAAAGAACAGTTTTTTAGGTCTTTTAGATTTTTGCCTATAATTTGAAAACCCTTTATACAATCGAAAAAATACCCGAAATAAATGTTATTGCACTGGATCTTCTACCTCTATGGAGGAAAACATACTTTTCTGGAAGCTACCATTACCAAAAAAAAATTCAAACATTTTTAAAAAATACTTGGTAAAATTTGATTGCCCCCAATTTCTACCGTTTAAATGTGGATACGGACTTTTACTTCTCTGCTAAATTTGAAGTTGATATCTGAACATTTAGGACACTTAACACATTTCTCATTTAGCATGGAATATCGGGAACACCCTGTACAATCGGTGAAAACCTTAAATACAAAAGTTTTTGCTGTCTATGCGCGCATTTTTTTATTTTTTTAGAATACTTCCCGATCCTCCAGCCCCCTCATTTTCAATAGCTTCCGTCACTGGGCAAAGCTGCATATATGTGCCAAATATGAAGTCGATTGCTTGATATTTCGAACACTTATCGTGTTTCATAGCTAGCTCCAAAAAACAGACGAAAATCGCGAAAAAAAGGTGGATACAGTCGTCGGATTAGGGCCATTTCTTACAAGCTTATGTGCCTCGTGGAGGGTTAAAAAGGAGGCAAATTTCAACTTTCAACTCCAAGGGTTCGAAAGTTATTCAGGAAAAACCAAAAGACGAGAACGAAAAACGGACAGACAAAAAAAATTTTTTTTTTCGACGGTGATCATTTCTGTACCAACGGCGATCCCATAGGACCTACCGTTACCGAGATATAAATTTTTTATTCGAGCGCAGATACTTTCGAAAAATTCGAATTCATCGATTTTCGAAGGTAACAAGTCACTTCGCGTAAAACTTACTAACTCACTAACTATTTACACAATGCTATTAATGATCTGGCGAGAGGTGGAATATTCGAGCCGTTTTCTTGAGAAGCGGTCGGGTCAGAGCCAGGCTCGGCCTATTCGGATCGCTCCTCACACTAGTTTAATTATCTAAAGTCTTTTCTCTCTGAAATATTTGAAACTATGCTTTATCTTTTCAGGAGTAAAGATAACAGAATTGTCACTTGACGCACCCGTTGTATTTTACTGCAATATTTCGTCCTGTGGATCATTTCTGTCGTAATTGCCAATTTCAGATGGTTTCCAAGTTTTTCATGTTTTGTACCTTTTGTTTATTTTTCTTAATATTGATAAGACCTTGTGAATTGGCGACACATCAAACAAATCACTAGATTATTTGAATATTATTTTAAAATACAATTTTGAACACTTGAGCTTTTCGATGATCACCCTCTTCTACTAATTCGAAAGCTGACCAGCCAGCGTATCCTAAAACACAGCAGACACTGTTAGGTTTGGTTGACAGATAGTTGACATTAGCGATAAAAGGTCGTGGAAATGCGGATTCTGCATAAAGACGCAGAATGTCAGGAAGTATTTTTTGCAGGCAAATACTTGTTATAGCATAGTGTGTTATAATATATTGTGCGCTCATATTTGTTGAGCGGGTTTCTCATTTTGCCGCTACATCTGTGAAGTCATAATTATGTTATTTTTATTTTTTGTATTTTTTTTTTTTTGGGAATTTACAAATTCTATTTTCTATTTAATTTTATTTAGTTGTTTAGTAGTCGAAAGTTTTATATTAATTTTGAAAATTCTATTATCGCTGCTATTAGTGTCTGTCACTTTTTGTAAAATTATCTTAAGTTTTCACAATCATTGGGGAATGCTAGGAAGAATGTAAAATTGCAATGAGTGTCTCTGTTATGTAACTAAACAATTTCTAATATCTAAAATAACACAGCTCATTGTTTTGCGGATTCAGTTTATCTAACTCCATTGACTTGCAAGTGACATGAAACAGGTATATATATCTGCTATATACCTAGACTGTAAGATTAGCGGGCCTTCAATAAATATTTCGTCAAAAAGTCATTTTACCCTTAAAAATATTTGCTATGCTTTTATTCTCGTGTCGATTACGTAGACTATTAGATTTATTAGAATATCACTACAAAAAAATGTCGAATGTTTTCTGTTTTAGACAGTACCACCTGGACCATCCATTTGGCGGCAACTCTCACGTAGTTTACAACGGCCTCTTTTTCTACAACGTGAAGGACACGACGAGAATCATAAAGTTTAATTTGGGAAATGAGAGTACCGTGTCGTTAGACCTACCCGTACCCACCAATCACACAACCAAGCTGTATTCCAGCCAGTACAATTATGTCGACTTCTGTGTAGACGACAATGGCTTATGGATAATATTTGCAGTACCAGATTGCAACAATACGGCAGTTATGAAGGTACGCTTTGTATGATTATAGTGTTTCCAGAGGTACGTCCTCTTTACTTTACTTTTTTCTACGTCGTGCACGACCCACAGTTATTTGGAACGCGAGGGGAAGTTGTATGGGAACTTTTTTTTTTAGGTAGACATAGAATTGATGAAACCGCAATACATTTGGAATATAAGTATCGACCATCATAAAGTTGGCGAAATGTTCGTCGTCTGTGGCGTGCTTTACGCTGTCGATAGCGTCACGGACCGCACTAGTAAAATCCGGTTCGCTTTGGACCTCTACAAGAATGTTTTACTTGATGTCGACCTATCTTTCACTAACCCATTTAGAAAGACCACCATGTTGGGATATAATCATAGGAACTCGGTATGTTTTTTAAGCTAGTGAACTTTTTAATGCCACTCATTTATTATTTGCTCTATTTAAATTAAATTTTGTTACTTACTTTTAACCAATTGAGTAAATACCGTTTTATTTAGGATCATCATTAATCTAGGAGTACTTTTTGACATATTGATGGTGTTGTTCTTTCACAGCCGTATTTCTCAACTGAACTTCCATCCTTCTGGATTCGTCCAGTCTCCATCATTTAGATTAATCCTTTCCGTTGCTTCCTCAATTTGTTTATTTCAGCTTTATCTTGATCCACCCCTTTTCTTGCTTTATTGTGGACATTCGACTATTCTCTGGGGCCACTTCACAGAATTCATGCGTCGCTAGTCAGCTCCATTGTTTTATTTCTTTACCAATAAAAACTGAAGAGATGAAAGGTAATGACTTGGCCCAAATAGTAAGATTCAGTGGCGGTGTTATGGAAAACTTAAGTTTGAGAAGTTATGGGTCACTGTTGGTAAAATATCGAAAATAATCTTCTACAAGAAGATTTAAGAAGAAAAAAATAAAGCAGAAAGAGAGATATGCAAATAGTTGAGATATTTAAATATGCCTATGGTTTAGATACAGAAACGTTCTCTGAAAATGGTATTGAAATCTAATTTAACATCAGTGTAGAGGAATATGGACACTTTCATCAAGGAATAATAAGTTTTATGCAGTTTATTATGACAAAAGCTGGTTTGTTGCAAAACTTTTAAGAAATATTGATGGTACTGCCGATAGACATAACATTTTTAATATACAATAAACGCAAAAAATGCGAACTTAAATTGCCTGGGAAAAACATATCCGACGTAGCAATAAAATATCTCTTTTTCGGATCTTTGTGAACGATTCTGTTATTTTACATATTAGCGAAGATATGTTAAGTCAGATTAATAACTCTAACGTAAATAAAATGCACAACTGCTGACATGTTATTAGTTAATCTCAATTGTTTTTTTTTATTACTTAATTGATGTGTTTATTCCGTAAGGGTAATATGCTAATAGTTTTTTCCAAATGATTGAACACGTCTTATTACTTGAACGCCTCTTCGCTATAGATTTTACGGGGATTTATTAGGATTTATAGGGATTTATTAGTATTTGTAGGAAATTATTGGGCATATAACTCTACTTTTAGCGAGTTAATTGCCAAAAAGAATTAATATACATCAATTTGCAAAGATATTTATCCCTTGACGTAGTGATTTCCAATTTTCTCGACAATAGTGAACAAGATATGATAAGTAGGAAAAAGGAATATTTCCTTTATTAAAATCAGATTATCCCTACTTTGAATAAACTGAATGGATATCTAGGGGAAGATGAAACCAATGTAATTATTTGTAAATTGAGTTTTAAATACCGCCAAATAGACAAAAAATAAGTGGTAATATAATCGCACAGATTGTGCACTTAAAGATTTAATTACCTTCAAAACTTTCTAGAATCGCAGTATCCCAAAGATGGGTTGATTCAAGTAAAAACTGTACCTTCAAATAAGGAAAAAAACGCATCCTCAGATTTATTCCAAAGTTCCTACTATGATCTGTGAAGAATATTAAGAAATCTAATTTGAACTATCATGAAAACACAAGTGCAGAAGTTTTTGAAAATTTTTAAATTTATCTTTTAAAAAACTTAGTGCGTATTAGCATTAGCATTAGCGATTTGAGAACAATACGATTTCGGATGTGTTTACACGCCAGGTTTAAGAAGCGACTTTTATATTGACGTTAAGCAGCTGTTTGCTATTGCTAATTTAAAAATTTAAACTAAAATATTTGTTTTCTGTGAACAGCCAAATAAAATTATTTCTTGGAGCGAAAATTTTAAAAATATTTAAAAGTTAACTTTTAGTTATGAGTATTTCTTGGACTACAACATATAAATAATTATATTCTTCATGTTAGTGGTTTTCGCAATGTATAAAAATAATAAGAAGCTTAATGTTAGATCCTCATTTAATTCATTCCCAAATTGTAGTGGAAATACCCGGAAATAATTCTCAAAACTTTCGATTGAGGGTCAGGAGCTTTTGCATGAAACCGAGAAGTAGTCACTTTTCGGAAACAATTATTTTAGGCATGATAGAAGACCAAGAATTCATTGAAAGGTTTCTAGTAAAAAGATCCACTTTTAATATGGTAATGGATCACAGTGGCCTGCTACAAAAAGCATCAAAATGGAATTTATTTTGAATCCACTTACAAGAACGAGTAACTTTTGGAAAAGTTAAATATATGCTAAAAAAATATGTATCTGATAAGAAAATTACATTAGGTTGAATTGTTGTAAATTTAATTAAAAACTCTAATTAATAATATACATGTTGAGAGCTGAAAAATGTAGGCCAGCACATTTTAAAAATTCTTACATTTGGATTCAAAATAATGTACAGCTATTGTAAATTTCAACGACTTTGAGAGTGACGCAAATTTTGAATAATTATTGATAATTTGTATATTATTATAGTATCATCCTATTTTCCATTATCTTTATTGATATTTTATTCTAAACACATATACGTAAACGTATACAAACCTGTATCCGTATTTTTTTTTTACTTGCCAATCATAAGTAGCAAATTACAAGATTTACATCCAACAAACCAAAAACACATGGAAAGATAACACAATAAACGAAATGACATTCAACGAATTACGTTTCCATTCTGCACCGCAATAATTAACTTTTGTTTCTCGGAATCATTTCATATATATCTCATTCTTCGACCGCCCGAAAGTAATTTTCCGATTCAATTAAGTGTTGGAAAAACTTATTCGGTTCCTATCATCGGACGTCCGATGCGAGTGAATGCGCTAACTTTTTCATTTTGCAGGAATTGTATTCGTGGGATAAAGGAAATCAATTAACTTATCCGGTGCGATACCACCAAATAGGGTACAATTCTACAAAGAAGGAAGAAAAGCCATTAGAGACATCGGATTATCCAACCGCTTCCAAACACACCGGCTACGATATCTACTGATTAATATTTCTTATTGCGACTTTTTCTAAATGCCTTGCGTGATTCATATTAGTGCGTGCATCGTTATTTTGTGAACCATCCGGAGATACGAAAAAAAAATTCTACCACATCTACCCACACGTCAGAATTATAGGAGACGCTGCAGCATCAACTGATGTCAATTCCAATGAGAATTTTGGTTAGTTCTGTATTACATAATATAATAGTAAAAATTTTTCAAACTTTTAAAACGTGCTCAAAATAACCTCAAAAAGGTAGCGTTTCCATAATTATCACTTCACATCCCCAATGGTTCTGAAAATTCAATGATTACGCATGGTATACACGAAGACGTGAAATTTTATACTTTGTGTTCGTGGAACGAATGATTGGAGGTTTTGGGGCGGATAAGAAGCAATATCTTTTGTAAAAATCTAATCTAAAATATTCCTGTGCAACTGGAGTTTCAATATTCAAATAAAGGCACATTTGTTCATACGTTTTTTTTATGAAAATTGCGGTAAGTAGCGTAAGTAAAATATTTTGTATTCTACACTGTCGTATTTTAGAAGCAATACTCATTGGTTTTCTAAAATTGGAACGGTGTAAACTTTCCATTGGGTAAGAAAAATTATTTCAGTATAACCGTTCTTAAAGTAATTTATGGTACGAAAATGTTTTATTATTTTTAAGCAATTATTGTTTAAATCGTAAAGTTTTCGACAGAGATAATAATGAACAATTTTGAAGACTTAGATAATATACCGCGTGTACAAAAGGTATGGAAAAAGTGGAATCGTCAAAAATCACACAACTGATCAAAAAATAAAGAAATGTTTTTAAATATTGGATTATTAGTATTAAATAATTAGAAACATATCCCGCCATCCTAATCCACCGATGATTGAGATTGTATGCCACAAAAACGTCAGTTTCTGTTCGAAGTTTTCTTTTGGATTCTCGGTAGCTGTAACGACCAAGAAATTTTTTATAAATAATTAATTAATGAAATTTATCCTATTTTTCAGGAAATACGAGGGTGAATATTATGAATCCGACTTGAATGTTATTATACCTTTGTTTTAACAGATTTTTTCTACTTCCTACTCTAATATCCAACTCTATGTTTTTATTGACAAAGACGATAATTTTTTTTTGACTACATCGAGCGTCGAAATGAAATTTCTCATAAAACTTGAACCTGTGGCATAGAATCCGAATCTCTAATTAAAAAATGGGGTTATTGTTTTTTTCCGATATTTAAAAGCATGTTTTTGGTTTTTCTGATCAATTGTGTAATTCTTGAGGTAGTCTATCTAAATGGTACATCTATTTTCTTTATGCCGGCTACCTTTAAAGAAATAGGAAAAATAGGATAAGAAGATAGCAAATAAACAGATGCTTTTAAAGCAATTATTTAATAAAAAATATATAATTATTAGCTATTAAGGTTGAGAGCGAGACGAACATGTTTGAAAATACAGCGCATTAAATATCACTTTCTTAATTATTTTAGGAACCCAAACGAATCTTGTGAAAATTAAACGTTATTAACCTAAACGCCACGAATTATTATTATAAGCTAGCGACGTTTCATCCCTCATGTCACCATCTCTCTCAAATTGAGTCCAAATATAATGAGGCGCCTCTTTTAAGAACAATAACACTTTAGAATGAATTCTATTCTAATGGTCATGTGTCAAAAGAAACAGATTTAACGAGGAAAGTATCGAAGAGATATGTCCAAAGAAAAGCTAGCAAAAAGATAACATCTAACCAATTAGTTAAGGTAATTTGGTGCAATTAAATTTAAAATTAAATTTTATTAGTATCCAACGCAGCTTTGAAATGTTAAATAAAGATGCTTAATTAGTCTGCGACCGAATCATCTTGAACAAATATGGCACTGATTCGCCTTCGTGGAAGTACTAAAAATATTGATATAATCGATTTTGAAGGACATTTCGAACATATTGTAGCTATCAGATAACATAGGGACCCTAACTATTTTAAAATTAATGCACCTCTGGTGGCTATAACATTTTTGTACACACAAAACTAACCTGCACTTTTGGGTCATTTGCTTTCTATATGATTTACACACACTTTACCCGTTTTTTCCGTTAAAAATTTCCCATTATCCCGGCAGATCTTGTTAAAAATGTCAAAATTAAAAACTCTCGAATTGACAAAGTATGTTGATTTATGAACTACGCAAACGAAAACTCAAATCTGCGCATAATAAAACATCAGCATAAACAAAGTACCGCAAAAAAATCTGCTAATCTTAATCCAGAAAGTGATATCACAAAACAAACAATACAAAACGTTTCCCTGTTATCCTGGGAATACCATTCACAACCATTTTATTCTTAAGTAAACATTTCTCGGATATAAAAATTCAAAATGGAATCCCTGCAAAAGGCAATATTATAAAAATTTCAACAAAGATTTAGTATAATCGTCCAACGGAGCGTTATCGTTTTCCCGGTCGTCCTTTATTTTGCGAAGCACCCGCTTTCGGCTTGTTAAATTGGAATGTGGCACATTTCGGGATATGACGTTCGGCCGCGGCTTCGTTAAACCTGAAAGAACAAAATAAAAATCGAACCATTAATCCTTGAAAGCTTACTGACGAACGTACGTTAACCGATACATCTACTAGTGTCATTTGTTGTCAACTAACTGTAGTAGTAAGTAATAACGCGTCGAACACCACTATTTATAAGAGGCGCATTTTCCATGCGTGTAAAGTTTTACAGCTAGTTTTCTTGGAAGTATTCGGTAAGTAATATGCCATTTTCTTAATTTGGACAGTTATAATTAACCGTAAAAAAATAAAATATTTTACTTTTGTGATTTCAGGACACAACCAGTTTGACGTAACTTATACCTCTCTTGCATTTGTTTAAAAATTAAAATTTGATTTTATTAGTTTTGTTGGAATGAGAGTAAATTATATTTATTTTTATTCTTCCACATATGGCAAAATCAAATCAAAATATGTGTGCTAATAGAAAAGGGCTTCCTCAGTTGCTTAAGATGGAAGGAAAACGACTTATAGAAATCCTGTCTTCGAGTCGGGATCCCACAAGATATATTCAGGTAAAGAGAAGAGAAAAGGGTGGAAATCAGAAAGAACTATATTGTCCCTGCCAATAAAGGAATGTAGACGTTGCATGGGGTGATATTCATAGGAAGTCTCGGAAATATAGGCTATTTTGGCAGTTCACCAGATATGGAAAATGTTTACGACTGACAGTAAGTTCTGGATTCATTGAGGCTACAAAAAAAGAGCTCCTAGTAAAAAGAGTTTTGAAAGATAATAGACATAAACCACTGAAGTAAGAAGATTGCTTCTAATACTTGGAATAACTTAGGGCTCAACTCAGAAAAGAATTGTTTTCTAGCATATTATACTACCTAATTTTATTATCTGTCCGTACAAATAAATTCTTATTTAAATGTACATATATTATATTATATCATATATCAGTTTAATATTAGATTACTTGCTTACAGATTAGAGTAAAAAATATTAGTTAAACATTTAATTTTTTTAGAAATATTTGTTGTATAAATAATTGTTCTTTTATGTGCCTCAAAAAGATGAACCAGCTTCATTAAATGACACACCTTATTTTGTACTTCTTGGTATATTACTTTAAATTTTCTAAATTACATTTAATTTAAAATAACAAGCCCGTTACATTTTTGCTTCTTTCCCTTTTAACATGCACAACCAAGAACGCACGCCTCAATATTTTTTTGGGTTAAAATATTACCAATATTATTAAATTTTTAACCTTCAAAAACAAACGTCAATATAAGATACCAAATCATCCTTTCAACAGTCTCGATGAAAGAAAAGACTTGTGCCAAAAATCATTATCATTTTTAGCATTGGACGAGTTAAATTGATACCAAAATAAATCACACAGTTTTCCTCCATATAATTGTTCGAGTTATTAAAGAGTATGTTCCTTTACATGTTTCGAGAATTGGAAAGTCCCCCATCGTAAGCAATATTTGAAAATTAACCAAGCAGAAGCAAAAATATCAGGGTTAACAAATATCCCTATACCTACTGTCTTGATACAATGCCTTGCGTCCATACCAATTCTATGGGGTTAAATTCACGTTGATATGGGCAAAGGTAAAATATCTTTGCCAACAACTGACTTAAACTAAGTACAATTCTAATTCTAAACACTAAGGCACAGGTAGGTCTTCTTCATCTACCTGCCACTCTCGGGACTTTTGACAATCCTAATAGTTACAATTAGGTTAGGTTTTCCAGCTCCATAATAATTTATAACTCTCTCGCATTGAGAAAGTTAGAAATTATTATGGAACCAAAGTTTCACAGCTTCCATGGGGTTCAATCAGAATTGACAATCCTAATAGTTACAATTAGGTTAGGTTTTCCAGTTCCATAATAATTTATAACTCTCGCGCATTGAAAAAGTTAGAAATTATTAGGGAACCAAAGTTTCACAGCTTCCATGGGGTTCAATTAGAATTAAGGAATGAATAAAGCATAACCTATAAAACACAAACACAAACCAAATCATTTGTACAAATTGCACATACAAATAGCTGCATTTTGACGATGGAATTGCTCCCTGTTGCTAATGCTGCTTCACACTATGCTGCATGAGCATTCTCACGTTAAGATTATCCACTAATAAAAACAATAAATAAACTTCACAGGTTAATGTCACTAACCGAAAAATAACTTAACCTCACTCTGTGTCGGTTGTTCTATCCAAATAAAGCACGTAATGCGAAGAAATTAGTTTTAAAATTTTATTTTTCTAACCCTCTTTACGATTGCCATACTGTGGATATTAGACATGTCAGTCTTTAGATATTGCCAAAGCTTTCAAAAGCTGGAAACATATACAACCAATAGTTTGGTTGTTGAGTATTATTTTTGGAAAAGTACTGTGTGTCTTTTTGGTAATTATGAGATAAATCTTAACAAAATTAATTGAAGCTGCTCATATGGGCTATTGTCCAAAAGCGAAATTGTGAACTAATTTGTCACATTTACAAGTTGTCCACATTGTTAGTTTTACTGTCCTAATTTTTGTTTTGTTTGTTTAAAAACTTACATTTTAAATCTTTATTTACTTTATTTGTTTTGGAGTTCGTCAATTTTAGAGGGTATTATTAACCAAGAATTAATTAAAACCATTGAAAATTTTATGTATCTGGAAGCCACTATGGCGAAAAATCAAATATTAAAAAGTGTAAACAACCAACCTTCTTCCACAACTCGGACACTGTACATAATCCGGATTGGTCGAAGGCGGCGGGGGCGGTAAATCGGCCAATTTGCCCCCCGCTGCGATGTGTGCTTGGGCCTGCTTGGCAGCCCTAATCGCTGCAATGAATTCTTCATGAGTTTTTCGCCAGTCTTTCTTGGAACCTGCTGATTTCGCAGCAATTGCCTACAAAAAGTTCAGCTTAAGTTAAGTTATATATTTTCTATGGTTCTACTATCATAATTGTATAAATGCAGACTTGCAAAATATATGAGCCTGGGTTTCTTTTGCAATAAATACTGTCAAAACGCAGGCTATTTTGTTGTCAAAAATTTAATTTTAATATTGTGCTAAATAATGTTAATCTTCTATGAAAAAGTTAAGAATCTGGATTCCTGCTGCGTCGCTTGTTGATGAATATTTCAGAGCTTAACTAAAACTGGTTTCCATTCTTCTCTGTACTTGCTTATACTATCTGAAGAGGGTGGAGCTAAAGGAGGGAGATGCACATGATTGATGCGGATGATTGAATTTTTTTAGTTTTCATCAAATAAGGTTTGATATCTGGTTTTATGATTATGTTTGGTAACTGAAGTTTGCCTGATGAATTGATTTGTCGCAATCTTTAGGCTTTTTCATAATTTAGCCTAGTTGATATTTTTCGTCCTGTCTCTCCATTGTATTCTTTGCCCCATACGCATGAAATACTGTAAACTCATGGTGCTTCAAATGAAATTTTGTCTTTGATAGATCGAAGACATTGAGAGATTTTTTGACAAGTGGTAAATCTATTCACTAATGTTTTTGATGAATCAAGGAATTTAAGTTTTATCGAATAAAATTTGATGTACGGTTTCATAATTGTGTTAAGCCACTGCTGATGAGTTTATTTGTCGTAGTCTTACGGTTCTTTCACGTTCTTTGAGCAAAGTTGATATTTTTCGTCAGCTGTCTCGAATGTATTCTTTGCTGCATATGCATGGAATATTGGTATCCCAAACGAATCGATAGAAGATGTTGAAAGATTTTTAGATAAGCGCAAAATATGGTTTTGGCTTTATATTTTCTAAGAACTTTTGATATGTGGTTACTGATGTTTTAAATGTAAGGAAGGACCACAGTTGCAAGTGTGGGGTTGCTTTCGGACGCATTTTTTTTTGGGAAGTTGTAGTGAAGTATATTTTGTAATATCTCCAATGTAGAAATTATTTGACAGAAGAGCAAAACTTTGGTGTCTTAATTCAGGCTCCAGTGATGATGATTTCTGGACCGGATAGTGATGGTACCGGTATCGGTCTTTGAGCATAGGTTTTCTGTAAACTGAATGACTCAATGATAGGTCAATGGTAAAACGTATGTTAGGGCATATAGAGTTCAAATGATTAGGAGGGATTCTTAGCGAGTCGATAGTTTTTTTGGTTAGAGGGATTCTACGTCTAAACTAACCGGATTTGGATCTAATGTAATGGATTTAATTTTTTTAAGTACTAAATTCATCTTTTTTCGCTGTAAAGCTAGATATTTTGTTAATAGGTGATTCGTTAATTTTAGGGAGTAAATGTCAAAAATTATATTACAAATTAAAACTAATTTAAATTTATTTTTATTAAAGTGTCATTCATTTTTATTTCCGCCGTCACAAACAAAGCCATTTTATCGTGTCGGATTCACAGCAGGGATAAAAAATAATTTTATTGCACAAAGTTTACCTATTTCTATAGCCCACACCAAAATTGAGAAAAACTGTATAGAATTTCTCATTTCATTACTCTATACATTTGAAGAATAGGCTTTAGTGATAGCACATGTGAAAGAATTCCTTTAATGTTAAGTAGTAGATTACCTTTTTTTCGTATGTCGCTTCTGGTTCCTTGGCTTTCTAAACATAACATAAACAGCTATGTAAAACTGATAATCAAACAATAAGAAAAAGTAAAATAATATATTTTATTTGTTGAAATAAGAAGAATTGTAAGTGTCAAATTGCGTTGCGATTCGAATTTCAAATTCGAATGACATTAGGAATGAGAACATTGTATTGCAACGAATGTTATACAAAATTATAAGAAGCCTTTAATACATGTAAGGAGTTAATCAATGGCAATTATATTTAAGTGTATGGTAATAGCTCCAGTTATAGAAAAATAATATAGGCATTCGTGTAATTTTTTTTATTGTTCGTCCTATGTTTTTAGAGGTAACTTTAATCATTTGAAATACTGGGTATTTATTAATTAAGTGCTGATACAAGAGTGTGAATAATTTTATGACGAAAAGATAATATCGAGCTTGCGGATTTAAGGTTATGGCGAAAACAAGTTCGCCTCAGACACTGGTGAGAAAGAATGAGCCTTGTTGTTATCTGCCCCTGGGTATAAGCGCGCTTGGCGCCAAAAAAGTCACACTAGGGCCTTTCGATTCCATGCCTTGGTGACATGTTCTAATTTAGTTTTAGTTTTTTTCTTTACAAATAATTCCGTTTAAATTAAAAAGTCTTTTAAGTCAAAAAATGACCTTTAAAAATTAATTAATTAATTAATACCTTATATATCCATTTCTACAGTAGGTATTAGTTATTTAAAGTTTCATATTATTATTTTTATGTAGCTTAAATTATATGTTTGCAGTCCTTTCTCTTAATCTAGCATCCAAAATTTCAGTGATTCCGTTTTATTCAGATTTAAAGAAATACTTTCAAATTTGCTGATAATAGGAAGCAATTGGGTAAGTTCTTGTGTAAGAACTTATTCAAACAGCACGATTTAAAATAAAAAATTATAATTTTTTGTAAAAAAATAAATTACAGTTTAGTTATAACGTGTACTTGATAGATATAAGAGAATAAAACCAAACACTGCAATGCATTTTTAAAGTCTGAATAATAAATAGTGAAATTTTAATATTATCATTATTGTACTGTGGGGCACAAACTGTATTTATATATACAAAAAGTCAACGTATTTAATCGAATTAAATGTAGTATATAGTTATTATTTTTAAATCCTTTCTTATAATTTTCAAAAAAACAAAAAAAAACAACAGAAAACCATGTGTGCCCGCGCTCCCTATATTATATAATACATTCCCAAAAAACTGCCGAACATAAGTTTTCATGTCGCTATCTCAAAAACAACTTATAAGAAATAACAATCTTGAGGACTAAACTATAATACCTTCTATCTCTATAATGAGAGACATTTTATGAAGGTGTATTTAGTTAAATATCGCTATTTTCATGAGATTAATCACTTTCAACAAATATTAGGCATAAAAAATACATGTCAAAATTATAATCTCTCAAATTAGCAAGATAGTCTTAATTTTTGGGCTACCTCACATTAACATAATATATAATTTAAGATCACACCCTGGAGGGAAAGGGGTACGAAACAAATTGATAAAGTATTGAAAAGTTATTATTACAAAAATATTAAACCTGTAGATTAAAAACTAATACACATTTTAAACTGCATTTAGTGCGCCACTTGTTAAAGACCGAATGGCAAAAATTTCGTGAATATACAATATTTCGATTATACAATTCTACAGAAAAGTGTATGCGTGAATTGGAGTTCCTTTGAATTGGACAGCATATTAAGATTCTTACTACACCCAACAATAATTTAGCATCTAGCGACATCTTGTGGAGTCAGTTGCTTGCTTCATATTTACACTGCATTCTTTGAAAAGTTTGTTCCCGGTTTCTAGTCACCTTGAGATATATATACTTAGCAATGGTCCTATATTAAACAGGTAAGTATGCAAAAATTACGATTCATATACGATATGTCAGAATTATATTTTTAGGTTACGTTTTAAAACCATATATTCCATAAAACCGATACTCCGGTGCCAACAATTGGACATGTAGTTTTTCTTATCATAGTAATATTTATTATTTATAAAGAATTAAGAAAAACAATCTTTCTTTACTTAATTTTTTGCATTCACCTCTATATATAAAAATAACTAAACTAAAACTCTGAATTAAGTTAAAGGACGTTACATTCGTTCTTCATTTCTTCTTTAATAAAAAAAAAAAACATTACGCCAGTGACGAATATAGCAAATAGAGCAAGAAGAAAATAGTCCTTCAAAGTCGCCTTCAAATGACGAAGATAAGAAAAATTGTGAGGAAAATAATTCTCTGACTTATGTATCACCATTCACTTGGGCATAGCATTTCATAACAGAGAAAATTCTCCATGAAATGGACATTTTCCAATATAAGCTTACAATGATTTTTCAATATGAACAGTTTTTCTTCTTTTTACGGAGAGTAATAAGGGATGTTTTTTTTCGATGTATAGAACTTTAAGTTGCAATAAAACAACGATGTAGCCGAAAGCCGAAAGATAATCTTGTGGCATTACATTTTAAATATGATTTCTGGCATACGACCGCCACGGCTGGCGCGGATGTAGTCCAATCTGGACGTCCAATTTTCGATGACTTTTTCCAACATTTGTGGCCGTATATCGGCAATAACACGGCGAATGTTGTTGTTTGTGGCTTATCCGCATAGACCAATGACTTTACATAGTCCCACAGAAAGTAGTCTAGCGATGTTAAATCACTTGGAGGCCAATTCACAGATCCAAAACGTGAAATTAGGCGGTCACCAAACGTGTCTTTCAATAAATCGATTGTGGCACAAGCTGTGTGACTTGTTGCGCCGTCTTGTTGAAACCACATCTCCTGGACATGGTTATTCAATTCAGGAATGAAAGAGTTAGTAATCATAGCTCTATGGCGATCACCATTGACTGTAACGTTCTGGCCATCATCGTTTTTGAAGAAGTACGGACTAATGATTCTACCAGTCCATAAAGCGCACCAAGCAGTCAGTTTTTCTTAATGTAACAGTGTTTCGACATACACTTGAGGATTAGCTTCGCTCCAAATGCGGCAGTTTTGTTGACGTAGCCATTCAACCAGAAGTGCGCTTCATCGCTAGACAAAATTCGCTTATGAAAATCTTACTTGATGATCGTTTGGCTTCAATTATTGCACGAGTTGGATTTTGTAAGCACGTAAACCAAGATCCTTCCGCAAAATCTTCCATAAAGTGGATGGACATAGAACCAATTCCTGTGCTCGATGGCGGATGGACTCATTCAAGTCTTCCTCAATGCTACGCTCTACAGCAGCAATAGCTTCTTCTGTACGCACCGTACGGCGTCTCTGAGGATACGAGTTACCAATAAGAGTAAACGTGGTGTGAAAACGTTCCATGGTTAATCGAATTAACTGCTCTGATGGACGATTTTGTCGACGATAAAATGGATGTAGTGCGCGATACGTATTCCGCACAGAACCATTATTTTCGAAAAAAAAATTGCACTATTTGCAAGCGTTGTTCAGGCGTGAGTCTATTCATGATGAATTGCCAAACCAAACTGAGAATAAATCACTTGACAGCTGTTAAATCGGTCGCCATCTTGAACAGTAATGCCAACTTAAAGTTCTATAGATCGAAAAAAAACACCCATTATAACGGAGCAGGAGTTTTAATATTTTTTATTTAAAGCAATGTTTTACAACAAAAAAAGTAAAATTCCCATTTCAAGGGAACTCTCCCCTAGTAAACATTACATCTGTCGCAATCAACTTGACATCGCCGATGGTTCGGATCGTATAGTAGCAACAATATTTTCTGTTAGGCATCGAAAACTCACCTTGCTATTGGTGCCTTTTTTCGGACCCCTCAGTACGTAAGTCTCGAGTTCTGTGCCCTGGACGCGGTGCTTGGTTGCGTCATAAGCTTTCCTCTTCTTCTTTCCGCTTTTGCCGCAGATGTCCTCGTGGACGTCCAGGCGGTCGGTAGCGAACCTCCGTCCACAATACCTACATTCGGACAAATCGTCCCGAACGACGGGAGATTTGGCTATCTGCCTCGCCGAAGGTTTCACGTTGGGCGATGCTCTTGATCCGGGCGAAGCGCCCTGCCAGATTTTAACAAACTTTATTTTAACTATACCTCGAGTAAGAAAAGAAAAACTAGGAAAATATCTGCCACACTGGAATCAGCTTGCAAAAATCTTGAATTAGTTTTACACTGACAGTAAATTAATTACTAAAATTCTTCATGAAGTTTTTGACGTAACGAGTGACCTTTGCCTTCTCAACGTTAATTAGCAGTCCAATCAAGTCATAATATTCAAAACTTATATTCGACTTTGTGTGTTGATTATATATTGTTTTTTTGAAACAATGTTTATTGATATACAGGGTGGTCCGTAAAGAATAGGTCATAGAGTAACCGTGGACTCTAGACGTTTGAACCAATAATGCATCTATCCAATGTTGCCAGTGTCAAAGTTAAAGTTTTCGATCGATTCGATCAGTTATGAAGAAAATAATGTAAACAAAAACATGTTGGTTCGAAACGGGTTTTTGGGGGTGAGAAATTTGAATCTAAACTTATTCTAAGTTGCCTATACAGGGTGCTAACTTTTTTACCCGAAACTTTTTGCAAATATTGGATAATAAATCTGACAAAGTTTTTTTTTTTGAAAAAAAGTATTCTTGTTTCATATCGTTAAAACCATTAGTTTTGGATAACATCAAACTTATAGCTTTCAACAACAACAAATGTCAAAAGTTCCACAATTATTTTTGTTGTTGTTTATTATTGTTATATTAATAACTTTGCAAAAATGCTTCGGCCTATCGTACTCACAAATTTTGAAATGCGAGACATGATTTGCGTGTATGCTCAAAGTAATCACAATGGACGCAGCTAGGTCCAGCAGGAGGAACACATTTTAGTGCCTATGGCGGATAGGTCATAGTAGCCAAGTTCCTTAACCAGCTCGTAGTTCCGACCTTAGTCGCAAGGATTTTTACTTTTGGGGCCACTTGAAAGTTTTAGTTTATAAGACAAAAATCGCATTGCGTGATGATTTTCTACAAAAGATTCATGAAGAAGTTGATGCCATTCGAAAGGAAGAAGGTAGCTTGTTCAAAGTAAAACAGCATTTAAACAAGGGAATAAGGAAATGTTGTATTCAGGTCAATCGTTCACATTTCGCTCGGTTACTGAAAATATTGATTTAATATTGTAAATTACAAGAACTTTTTTTAAATTGACAAATCCTACTTGGGACAATAAACAAACCATCTATTGACATGTACTGTCGGGGAAGGTGGGTTTTATTTCTTTGGGTAAAAAAGTTATAAAGAAAATATTCCTTTGAAACGTATGTAAGTAAGTTAAAACCTAAAAACTAAAATTCAGAATTGTCACACCCAAAAACCCCTTTTTCCAAATATTTACATCATTGTCTTCAAAACTATTCCAATTAAAATATAATCAATAAATTGAAAATTACGGAACACCCTCTATATATATTTATTTATATAAAATATTTAAGCCCCAGAGTTTAAAACGGAGCCTGAATAGTTTAAAATTTTCCAGAGGATGTGAAAAAAGAGTCTTGATAAAATACTGAGCCGTATGAAAGCTCAGATGAAGAAAGGAAAGAAAATAAGCTTATTTCGAATATCATAATCCATCATTTTTTTATTCCTACCAAAAGTGTCGAGAGTAATATATGACACCTTTAAGGACAAATTTCTAAAAGTTAACAATTAAAATAATTATATATAATTGTGTTTTATGATATATTATAAAAAATGATTAGATATGCACGTGTATCAATAACATAACCTTGCTTTTTGATTTATATCAACGATGCAGGATTAATGCAAAAATTTGATGAAAATTAGTTCCATTTCGTGAATTAATTCATGAAGAAGTGAATTTTTTGACTTGTGTTTGATATCAAATTGCACTCGTTAATTTTGTTCGTATCAGTCTAAAACCATAATAGGGGCTGTTTTTAACTCCTTGGTCCGTTTCAAAAACATGACGGTTGGCCGCCAATGTGACTTTTTAAAAATTTCCCAGGCTGAACTAAGCTGCGAAATTTAAAAAGGATTTTTCTGGGTTTCATAACTGCGAGAAGAGGGAATCATTTTAAAAAGAAGGTAAAATCGTATCTAGGAAGACAAACGTTCTATTCACTTGAGGACAATCCTTAAATTGAGTTGCTTTATTGTTTTTCCAATAGGTTAGTTTTTCTTATTTTTAATTTTGTTCTTTTTTTCTTACTTCAGTTTTTGTTGGTCTTGTTTGTTTTATACACTTTAACTAATTTCAGTAAATGATTGATTAATACGATAGGGTTAAATCTCAAAAAAGGAAAACAAATATTTTAACAAATTTGTTCTTGTTGGAAAAAGCATATAGTGTTTGAGATGCTGTGATATGTATTAGTCATGCTGCTAGAACGCGGTTTTTGTGGTAATGTAGGTTAGTAATCTCTATATAATATTCCAGATTCAGTGGTAAAATTTAATTTTATAGTTTATAAATTAGAAAAATATTCTTAGATAAAAGAATAATATTGACAGTTTCTTGTGTGCAACAGAAAAAATTACGATGTCTGTGTAAGTTTCATTTTCTTTAAGCAAGTGTAATTTTATCAGTGAATGTTAAAAAAATAGAAACAAATAATAACAAATAATAGGGTATTTTAAAGTTTTAAGAAAACCAAATTTAATTTCTTTTTTACTTCAGGCTAGGAATAAGAAATAACGACTCTTTCATTAACTTATTTACGGACAATTTTGCCATGTTTTTATGAAAAATATTGATTTTATTGCTTTTCATTTTTTACAAATATCACAGATAGGTTTGATGGACTAATAAATGGGATTTTTCAACGAGATCAAGTTTGCTAAAATCCGTTCAACCGTTGCAAAATAAAAACAAAACATTAATCGCCACCTACCACTTTATCTTAATAGATACATATAAAAGTGTTAAACAAAAATATCTCGAACAAAATTTAGGTTTAAAAATCATGTCTTTTTCTGATACCTTTATTTACTGGAATTCAGATAAAAATCACATTGAAAGTTGAACTTGGCGGTTACGGCCTTTAGCACAACTTGTAAATTTAAAAATATTTTCCATGGCTTTCGTTTGAACACTTTAGGAATCACATTTTTTACAAGTTTCGACGACAAGCAATTTCCAGAAAAAAGTCATTTTGCATTCTTATGTAGCACCCTTTGTACTGTGCGTCCTTTTTCGATGATTTTAGAGGTTATCTGTTTATTAGTAAAGATAGAGGATTTCACGACACTGTGCAAGCGAATTTTCGATTTTTAAGATACGGGGTGTTTTTCGACACCCCCCATATCTCGGTTATGCTAAAGCTTATTAGAAAAGTAAACATGTGTTTGTTGACGTTTTTTTTAGTTGACAATGACATATTATAAAAAACATCTATTTAATTTAAAACAGGACAATTTTGGTAACTTTGAGGTAAAATAAATACACATTTTTGTATCACTAATATGATAAAAATTAAAATTTTTTAAAAATAAATAAAAAACAATGAACTTCTTTTTAATTATGCAAAAAAAATCTTAAATTGATTGTTTGTTGTCAAAATTATGTTCCAAACATGTTTAACATGTAGTTCTTATGCGCCTTATTGTTGTATTTGAGAAGCTATTTTAAAATTGAATAATTAATTAATTTAAAAGCTATTTCAATGGCATTTCTCAAATCTACCATGGTTTGGTTTTGAACGGTATATATTGTATTTTGTCGATAACCCCACAAAAACAAATCCAAAATCGATAAATCGGGTGAGCTAGGTCCATTTGTTTCAATTCCAGAAAAAAAAAGAACAGTTGTCTTAAGATAGGCACAAAATTCGTGCAAACCGACCTTGCCGTTCCCGTGGAAATTTTACAATACATTAATTTCATTTCATTCATTAATTTTGATTTTAATATTGAAAAAAATGCTCTTATGCAGCAGTTTTCTTTATGCATATCTATACATAATAGGTGAATATAAATAGGTTTGACTAGAATAAAATGCAATAATTCAAATAATAGACTAATCCGTTAAAATAGTTACTAAAGCTTAATCCGCATTTTTTCTACACTGAAAACAAACTAGCATGTAGTAGTTTTTAAATTTTTCAAATTTAATATTGGCTGCCATAGCTGGTTTTAAATTTCTAACACGAATTACAAAAAACTCAAGAATTTCTGAATACGGCAGGACTGTGCTAGTTTGTTATTAAATTAACCTATCATATAATTTTATATATACTTGAAATGCTCTTGACAAACTCAATATCGTATTATCCAAAATCTACAGGATAAGTCACTGAATTCTGCGTAAAAAACGGCAACAAACCCACTTTTAACTTTTACAATAGGGTTTCTTGAATGACATGTAACAAAATGGGAAACTTCCGTATTTCAAAACTCAAAAAGACGTCCCTCTATCTTCATTAATAAGCGAGATACCCCGTACAACCACCCCCAAAAGTGCCAAACCGAAAGTGCGTAAAATATTTAGCGTTGGTTTAACATATTGCGGAATAAGTTTTGGTACGTAAAATACGAAAATAGTACAAAAGAAAATTCATTATCTTTAATATTATGAACGCCTTGTGAGAAAATTTGATATTCATCCCATTCTCGTATTTTAAAGTCGATAAGCGAAAAATCGATACGCTTTCCCTTACTTGTTTCGATTTGGACGATTGCATACTCTCTGGCCTTGGACTCGGAGATGTGGTACTTGAAGACGATGCCGAAGAATGGGCTCTCGGCACGGTCGAAGATTTAGGGGAATATTTAGAAGCGATCTGAGATGAGAAAAAAACTGTACTCAATCGTATCGCTTGACCGAGAAAACTTTATAAATACACGCGAGTCTCATGGTGATTTTGCAACTGCTTGTCAAAAAATATATCGCTGTCACTTTTTGACGTGTACCTTACGTACAGGGGTAAAGTAAAAATAATAAAAGTTAAGAGCTGTTAAAAAAAATGTCAACAAATTATAATGGAATTACCAAAAATAGCAATTATAATATGTTCCCAATAATTCAGTTCTCTCAGTCTTCGCGAAAAAAAAATATGGGAGGATATGTGCTTATCGGTCCAAACTCACTGAACACGCACTCATTGATCATGACGTCACTGCTCGTTTCCAGACCTTCATGCTAACTGTGAGCAGCAAAAGTATTGGTTTTGCCTTTATGAAATATTAAAAATAAGTTTTCAATAAGCAAATATTCTCGAATGACTTCATTAACATAGGATCTGGAAACCCATAGGCGATACGAGAAAAAGTTTCGTACAAAAATTTCTTGGACTCTCCAGAGGATTTATAATATTATAATTTTTTTGATACACGGTGTCCCAAAAGTGTTCAACTCGACATCAACATTGTTATAAAATAAGGTTAGTTTGTAATTTATCTTATATTTAAATGTTACTTACTTTTTGAGATATTCGAGGTAACACCCTTATAAATTCTTGTTGAATTTAAGGCTGTCGACATTGGGTCACTTGTTGGTAATATTAGGATTTTTTTAAATAGCAAAGACACAATACTTTTTCTTTTTAAGAAATAATACTCCAGATATACGAATAAAACCTATTGCTAACAATACAGGGTGCCCATTAATACGTGCAAATTTTGAAAAAAAAAACAATTTAACACTACACACTTTCACAGATCTAATAAATCTTTAGAATTCATATTTAAAGAAACATTTAAAAGTTAATTATCTACCTTGAAGGAAAATACCTAATAACAAAAGTAAATAATTGAATAGGTTAACTAAACAAGGTAAGAAATTTTAATAAGTAAATCTATAAAACAAAAAGTGAACTAGAAAGCGTGCGTTCAAAATGATCCACTAAAAATCCTCGTTTCATGCTGGCATCAAAACAACAAAGAACTATCATAATATTTTATATGACATCACAATCTTCTTTTTGACGCATTAAGGTATAAACAAATTTTGTCATTTCTGTTTGTTTTTATTGTTTTTCATATTTCTATTTACAAAGCATGGAGTATTATATCTTTAAAAGAAGCAGTATCATGTTTTTGCTATTAATATTGCCACCAAGTGACCTAACGTGGGCAGCTTTAAATTCAACAAGAATTTATAAGGGTGTTATCTTAAACCTCGAATATCTCAAAAAATAAGTAAAATTTAAATATAAGGCAAATTACAAACTTACTTTATTTTTTGTCCTAGAATTGATATCTCAATAAAAATATAGTGTGCTGGAAAATCTTGAGATTTTGTTAATTGAATTCGTCAAAACGGCACCACCTATTTGGGACACCCTGTATAGGCTGAGGCGCATCCGTCAAACTGTTTGAGTAGTGTATCATCTCCTTAAATTTTCTTTGCAATACCTGTATCAGTAGCGTCACAACACAATTTCTTTCTAAACTATGCAATATTCGAGTGCCGAAATATACATGGTGTTCCATTTAAAATAACAAATTTGAGGTCGGGCGGACACTTTTGGGACACCCTGTATCAACAGAATTATAATATTTCAAATCTTCAGGAAAATCCAGGAAACTTTTGTACGAAACCTTTTTTAGTATCTCCTCTAGGTTTCCAGATCTTATAGTGGATTGTTTTATTTGGCACACGGTGTACAACACTATTAAGCTATGATTGATGTGTATGATGATGTATTGAAGAAAGATGACGATTACGTTTTCAATGACACCATGCGTATTCTCATAGCATTTGCTGGTGTCATCATTATGATGTATTCGTCATCTTTCCTCCTGTTTATTATCTTCTCAATTCTTCTTGCGTCAATTCTGATGGCTCCTTCAGAGCTGAACTGAACTTAACTCAGACTATTTGACGTAGTCTTAAGTCATGTTCTTTTAGTCTAGTCGAAATTTTTTGCATATGCACGGAATATTTTAAATTAAATTTTTAAATTTTAAATTGCACAATTTATAACAAGAAACTAAACTAAACTTAATTAAACTAAATGCGCATTGATAATACACCCCTATTAAATCCAACTTCTCATAACATGAGTTAACATGAGCCACGGCCAAAGTTATGACAGTTTCACAACTAAAGTATATTACAAAATCAAAATAAAAAAAATAGAAATAAAGATTGTATTTCAAATACCTGTATACATATGCATGTGTTGTACATATTTTAAAAAAAGCCATAACAAGTCTAATAAAACTATTAAAATAAATTATTTTCAATTTCATAATATTCGTGATTTTTATAAAATCTGAAAAATACTTTAACTTCCTATCGCAAATACCAAGCAGTTGGTTTGAAAATGGAAACACGGTCGTTTAGCTTTAAAGGAGATTGACCTTGTATGTTACTCTCGACCTTATCAGTGTCCACAATAGATTTCTTACAGTTTACATCCTTTTTGTGACTCACGCAAGGCTGGAATTCTCGGAAGTTCGAAATTAATTGAACGACCGCGAGGCTATAAAATGTGGTCGCTACAAAAGAAAATTTTCCTTTCGAGAATGGCGCTGATAATTATAATGAGTTTTGTTTAAGTGACTGACATCGGAAATTAAGTAATTATGATATACGGTGTGTTATTTTATTGGTGTGTGGTGTGTTGATTTTCAAATTTAATTAATTAATTTGTTTTTATGACCCCTAAAGCGCGAATCTAAAGTATGTTTCTAAATTGTACGAAGTATTAAATCTCAGTATTCCGTTCATACCAAATTTAAGGGTCGTCCATAGGCAAATTTAGACAGGTAATGAACATAAATTTGTAGCTTGTCACGTAACGTCTCTTACAAAAGGGAGGAAGATAATTATCAGCTAATTTTAAGTCGAAAATGTGGTATAAGATTTTTTGGAATGTCGCATAGCTTTAGTTTACTGGCGTAGGTCTTCAGAGTTTTTTTAATAATTTAACAGAATATTGATATTTATTATTGTTGTAACTACCTTAATTAAAGCGACAGAAATTAAAATGATTGATTACTCTACCCCAAGAGATTCGAGAAGAATATAAAAAACCTGAAAGGTTTAAAGCGGACACAAAGTAAAATACTAAAACCCCATATTATGAGTAACAATATCACGGTTTGTTACTGATTAACAATAAATAGAAAATACATAAAATTGTATTTTTTCAAGCGACTTTCCAAAAAAATAACATTTTTGTTTTAAAATTCGGTGAGAATTGAGAAAAGCGATAGCTTATTATTCCCTTTTTTTCTTATGGTTTATTAATTTTGGGGCCAATCTGCTACGGAGAAAAGTGGATATTGTCAAAAATAGGATACATCTACCGATCGGGGGTAAAAACCATATTTTATTAAATTGCATAATATGACATTTCTAAGCTGGTATATTTTGTTCTGTCTTACTTTCAGTAAACAAAAACTTTTGTCTCAACACCACCAGTACTGCCTGTATAACTCACGATTATAATACTTTTTACATAATTGCTATGGATCTCTATGGTTTAAATTACTAACATTAAAAATGTAACTGAAAAAATCGCCCATTTGTTTCAAGTGGACATCATTTATAATTTCACCTCGTTTAACATTTAAAAAAATGGTATTAGCAAAACATTAGCACTTAAAAGTTTTCTCATTGTTCAAATGGTATACCAATATTAAATGCCCAAGATAACGAACAAATAAAAAAAAACAATCGAGCGCTATATGACATTCGCTGCAAAATATTCAGATGCACAAAAACCTGTAAGCGGAATAAATGAATAATAGAAATATTTTAAAATTTCAAGACCTTTAGAGTTAATACAACCTTTTAATAAAAACTCTTATTTTTATATATTTTTTAAAAAATGTTGCCTATAATTAATATTTTTAATTTGATCTATTTACTATTTGTAATTTCTTTATTATATAGTTTTCTTTTAAGACAAACGTTATAAAGACACGAAATAATTTTTTACAACAGAAAACCATTTTATTGCTAATGTAAAAATAATATAATAAAAATAAAAAGGTCTACATACTCCATTTCTTATACCACCTTCTTTTATAAACCATAAATATTGCAATGACTTGTATTTACACCTGCAAAGCATTTTGACGTAAAATTTAAAATATGTCTGACACATTACGACTGTATATGTTATTGCATATGAACCTCCTGGTATGTATATTGACCTAAAGCTTTCCTGTATTTTCTAAAAGGAGACAAATATCAAAATCAAATAAAAAATGGTGGGTTGCCCTATAGTTCTTTTGCGTGTATAACGAGATCTTGTTATTGTATATGTATACCATTTGCTCCGGTATCATTTTTCTAAATTAAAGTTGTTAGCGATTTTGATTTAAACCTTCACAACATAAGATTACTTAAAACACCCAAACGCTCCGTTTACAAAACACTATCAAAACTTGTTGTTCTAGGACGAAAAATAACAAAAACTATCCAAAACTCACCCGTGGCTCCATAGATGAAGTACTTTTCTGGACCGCCCCGTTTTGTTCAATACTGGCTTCTTGCATTTGACTTGGCAGCTTGCCACCGACATTGGCCAGTTTTCCTGTCATGTACAAAGGCGCTCCGTGAGCCTTCTCCTCAACGTCGGGCTGCGACATCACTTCGTTTTCCAAAGAGTCTTTCAAGTTGTGATTATTCATCAAATCGAGTATGTGGCGAGAATTATTATCGACCCGATCACTTTCCTCCGACGCGCTATTTCTATAGTTGTTGTTCTGTACTGTTTCACGTTTGTTGACGACCGTTTTGCCGTTTTGGTTCATACCAACAGCCTTCACAGTCTTTACAACCGTCTTTGTACCAGCGCCTTTAGTTTGTCTATCCGTATTCGGTCCTCGGCCGGCGTTTTTTGACTTGAGCGGTTCTAGAGGGTAACTTTTGTCGATTCCAGCCTTTTGACGTCTCTCGTCGAACATTTGTCGCACTTTGCCACCACCGTTGGAACCTATGCTAGCGTTGCTCGTGTTGCTGCCGGCGCTTCCGCGACCAACGCGCTCGAACGCCCTCTGCTGCTGACTCTCGTAGAGTTTGAGGAGCTTCTCCTCCTTTTCTAGCATCTGCTTTTGTTGAAAGCGAGCCTAAAACAATGCGAAATCGGTCAAGTATTTTTGCTTTTTACAGTAGGAACTCTACTGTCAGTTTACAAACTAGGGTTGTAAAGCTTTGGCAGAGAAGTGACCTTTTAAAGCTGTAAATATGTATATGTAAATCTAAATATGTACCCTATAACTTTACGTTATAATTTACTATATTCCCTTACATTTTACAATCGTAAAAATAAGTTAACTTGACGTACTCTTTACTCCACGTCAAAACTTACAATGAAAACAGAAAGGTTTAGCCAGAACTAGGTAGATGGGATTTTAAATCATATAGTGACTTCCACCGCTCTGGGTAAATGAAAAAAACTAATCGAATGATTCATGGTATTACATCCATGCCCCTTAAGCGGTAGACAGACAGACACTAGAATTAACGAAACACAACGAAAACAAATATTTCAATATTTTAACTGCCTTAATTCTTTAATAATTAAATAATTCAGAAAATTATTCAGTAATTAAGAAACACATAGATTCCTATCATCCCAAGATTCTACATTCTCCTCTAAGACGTTATTTACCATCACATCTTTCCATATATAAGGTGTCTCGTATGAAACATAACAAAAAAAATTGAAAAAGAAAATATAGGTTTCAGTAAACCATCTCGAGATGACTATCCCTGTTGTCCAGATTTATAATGCATGAAAGAGAACGAAACAGATACCCTATAAAATAAGCAGAAATTATTGTCCAAGATAAAAACACTACTAAATTGGAAGACCTTGATAAAAGTTTTACTTGATGAATAAAATAATTACATGAAAAATTCTTTCGGTGTGTCTTTTTATTAAGGACTTTGTATTTTTTTAAGAGGTATTAAAAACTAAATATGGGGTGTATTTCCTGCTCTAAAATTTGATTTTTTTATAAATTCAAAGAAAGTAAAATAAGTTATTTTAATGCTGCTGATTTGTATTGATATCTAAATTAAGTTTGAATGAACCATCATAATAAACTACCAAACTACTGCCCCAGTAAGTCATGTTTTTTGCCTGGTTTGAAAAAATAGTTACCATTTTTTCAGATTGCAATTATTTCATGCATTTCTGACGACAAATAAATTAATAACCTAAATCTATCTTTTATTTTATTTTGAACTAATTTGCTTTACTTTGTTCAAGATTTGGATTGAATTAATGAGGACAATACGTTTCACTTTGAAGTTGAAATAAGAATTTTCAAAAGCATTAATTTTTCAAAAACACTTTTACGGGCTACCGTGATATTAATTACAAATCTTTTGATTTCATGCTGCGTCGATTGCTGATGAATTGACTTGAGGTTTCGCCAGTCATCCTGTTGGATTCTTCAGAGCTGAATTGAAACGGGGTTTTAATTTGCAACTGCTTATAATTGATACTTGAATGGGGCGGAGACAAAGGACGGGACAAGAACATTGTCTCGGATGACCGACTCCCATTTTGAGAAGAGGTAAAGACTTGACTTACTCTCAGGATTGTGATGATGAGTTTATTTGTAGTGGCATTAAGGCTCTTTGAGCCTAATTGATATTTGTCGTCCTGTTTCTGCACATACCGCAAGATATTGAGAGGTTTTCGGACAAGTGGTAAAACTAATTTTTACAATATGTCTCTTAAGAACTTTTGATGAGTGGTCAGTAATGTTTCGAGTGTATGGCAGACCCACAATGGGGTTGCTTTGAAACTCTTTTTGCTTGAGCCAGATGGTGATGAGACAGTGCATTAAAGTATTGGTCTATGAAGGTTTTCTGTTAACTGAATATTTTTGTATTAATAAAAATATAAAGAATTATTAGTTTCTAATTCAATGGTGAAACATATGTTCGGGTGGATCAAAATGTTTAAGAAAATCTCGGATCTTGGCTTTAGATGGAAAGTATTAAGGACTTTCTTTTCAAAAGCTTCTATAAATATATTTGCTCAAAACAAAATATAAGCAGGTGCGGAGTAGAATACAAAACAATTTCAGTTAAGCTCTGAAGAACCGACAGAATGATTAGGGAAACATTAGAAAATTCCATTCCTCAACAACATACGCAGTAGGAATCTAGAAGATTTGTAACAATGATTTCTTCAATAAAACTTTAATGTCAATTCTTCTCCCTCAACTAAAACTAACCAGCACAAAAAATAGTTAACGCCATTATTAATTTGTTAATAACAAGAAATAGTTCTGTATTCAAACTCAATAATACTGTAAACAGCGACGTAAATAGTAAGCAACTTCCATATTCGTTCACAAGCATTGAAAATAAATAGCGTGACATCATAAACCTTTATTGTTATTACACTAATATTTATCATAGCGTTCCCGCTGTCACACTTACATTGTGTTTTCTGTAGTCGATGGTTTCATACAACCTCTTGGCTACCCACGAAGTACTGGCGTCCCACGACACCACGTTCGGCAAACTGGTGGAAAAGTAACCGTGCATTTCCGCATAAAAAAATAAATCAGCCAAGAAGCGAAACAAAATGGCGCGGAAATGGAATACATGTGCACCGACTGCTATAATACTGTCGTTACATTTAATATTGGAAAATTATTGCTGACGACATGCGGTTCGTGTGAATTATATGGAACATGCGCTGCCATACGACGTCTGCCATATGTCGATCATGTAAGGGTGGCTTGTCCGATTGTGTTGGGTGCCGTATTATATTGTAACAAATAGTAATTTACTTGCGACGAAATTGATTCCCGGTGCGAGATTTAATGGTATACACGCGAGTCCTCATTCCAACCATTCACCAACCGCAGTGTTGTTGCTCTAGTGAAAATATACGGAGTAGTCCGCAAAAAATGCGCCAAAAGCAGTACTTGAATACTTGAAAATAATTATATTTAGCCAAGTATGGCTTAATAAAATGTCTCTCATTAGAAAGATGTGTTACATATGAAAAATTGGATTCGAGTTTGATTGCATTCTATTTTTGTACGTACACTCTATAATCTTATAATTTCATGTCATAACCATTTTGTTAGTGATTTTTGGCTATTTTTTTTAAATTATTTCAAATAATTTAATATTTTCTGTCAGCATTACGTGCCAAAACCACAGCTAACTTTAAAACCAGTACTTTTTTACTTTAAACAAGTTAAAAATCACCATTTTTGCCAAATTATAATAAATATATGTATTTTTTGGGCTTTTTGCAGAGTTTCTTCTGAATAAGGGTTATCGACCAAACTAGCGTTATTTTTTAATACTTTATTTACTCTCAAAGTTAGCGGAACATTTTTTGAAACACCCTCACCATATCGGAAATTGATGTTGGTTGATTATAGAAATATGTATTGCTTTTGTAAATTTACAAGATCAAAAGATACCTAAATTAAATTGAAAAATTTATCTTAACATTATGTATCATATTAGTAATATATTAACTTACATGTAACTCAAAGCAAAATTCTCTTGAAGAAATTTAATTTAAAAAATCGAAAACAAATAATGAAATTTGAAAACCTAACAAAATATATTCTTTTGGAAATAAACAAAATAACAATCCAACTTTTAATTACTATGGATATTAGTCAACAAAACATTATTTTTTCTTTGCGCAGCGAAAGAGTCATATTTCTGTATGTACTATATATGAAGTAGCGGGCGGATACTATCTATGATCCCAATGGGTGATAGATCTGCTTTAGGAATGCGCTCCTGCGTACGCGAGCCATAGTTTATCCCCATCTCCAAGGGAAAATCATGCCCCAAATATTATGTCCTTTCAAAGCATAATCCTGCCCTTGCACCCTTACCGAAAGCAAGCCCCACCAAATCCAACTACCTATGGTCTGCTTCTCAAGAAAATCTTATGGATTGTCTCATGGTTAAAGATATCCGGAGTGCCCCAATCGGATCTCCGGGGGGAACACTATGAGCGCAAGTTTATGATGTTGAACCCTACCAAACATCTTAGAGTTATCGATAAAGCAGACGATTACATCGCAATTTCCATCTGTATGTCTTTGGGTAATGGCTTGAAGAAAGATTTTTGCAATGAAATCAATGCCAGGCAATGAAAATAGTTGTTTACCGAAACAGAATGTAAAAGAGATAAACTTTTTAAAATTTGGTTTACAACCATTATAAATAAGCTAATATTGGTTCCTTCAAAGCAGTAAAACAAAATAACGAATAAATGGCTTATAAAAAAATGTGCTAATTTTCATAATGTGCAATCGTAGATGTTAAATTTTCATGAGCGAACTCATTCACTGAATAATTTATGCCGATAGAAAATCCGGAAAATGTCAGTAGGTAACTAGGGAACGACAATAATTTTTCAATCGATAAGTTCCAATGACAGACAATCGGGTAATAAAAATTTATCAGAAACAGTCGCCGGTTTACAAGAGAGGTTAGAAATGCGATCAGAGTCGGATGTTGTAACGAATACAAATGAATTTGTATTATGACTTTAATTATATTAAGTTGTTGTGAAAAATCGAAACGAACATAAAGTTCTCACATATTATATTTCTCTTCTTTGAAAACGAATTTGATTTTTTAAAAACTTTATTCGAGCGTGGTTTGTCAAGAACTGACTTACAATTGTACGCGTACACAGTAACATTTATCGTCTAGACGCTACCTAAGCAATGATTAAGCTCAACGGGGTTTATAACTCTACTGTTTGGTTCGTTGTATGTAAAAAATATTTCTTCTGTATTTTGTTGTTCGACTACTTTGTATGTTGACAGTGCTTTTTATCGATTTTTTGTTTTAAAAATATTTTTTATTAACTGAAATATACGTCATTACCGGTAAATATGATGATTTTCAACAAATTTTAAGTCCAAGCGAGACGAAGGGGTAGAATGCTCTCAGGATACTGGCAATTAGCTTCACATCCGAATTCACAAAGATCTATAACTTTCTGGTATTACTTTTTCCACCTTAATATAATTTAAATAAATACTTCGTCGTTTTAAAACCAAAATTAAGAGAAATATGTCAGAGTTATGCCCATGACGTGGGTTTTCAACCG